CTTTCCAGTAATGAAGAAGTAATGATGCTTCATAGCAACTACATTTATGGCTTTAGTTCACTGAAAATTCAGTCATTGTTTACTCATTATCATGTTGTTTAGCAAAAAGTAACAAAAGTAACTGATAAAGTATGTGACAAAAGTAACTGATGACTTTCGAACTCCAAAAATTAAAATGCACCAATAAATAAAATAAAATAATTAATAATTTCATAATAGTAGTCCCTTGTGCTATTGATATACACTAGTGTTCAAAAATTTGGGGTCAGCAAGATATATATATATATATATTTTTTTTTTAAGACAATTAATACATTTATTCAGCAAGAACACATTGAACTGATCAAACGTGAAAGTAACAACAGTTGCAATGTTACAGAATATTTCTATTTCAAATAAATCCTGTTCTTTTGAACTTTCTATTCATCAAAAAATTCTATGTGTATTTATCATGTCAATAATAATAATAGTAATAATAATAATAATAATCAAGCGTAGCGTTAGTTCTGGCAGGTCACGTTAGTCAAGCTCACATCAGCTGACTCTCAGCTGATCCCCATCAACATATAGGAATACGACACCTATCTAAGCATTTATATATAAGGTCCCTCAGTATTATCAGCAGTTTTCACATTGCTCAATAGCTAATTACCCTCCTCCATCCCTAACTCCTCCTCTGTCAGTCAGGATTCAGCCTTCTGATTATCCTTTGAATCAGACTAATTCTAAAATGTGTACATTCAATTATTGAACTTTAACGATATCTGCAATACATTTATGTTGGTTCTGTTCTGTTTACCCTAGGGAGCATGGATGCACAGGGAGTTCTTGCCCAGAACAGAACCATACCGCCAATCCAAACTGTATGCTAATTGTCAATCATCTTTGACGATCCTGACAGAAATAAATTTCAAGAATAAATGCCAAATCTACGGTGGCCGAGAGAGCTCAACGCGCTGCAACTTCAGAAAACACATACAGTATAAATAGAAAAATCACCAGCAAATCAAAAAAACATCTTCATCAGTTTGACAGCAGGTGCTGCAAATGCTTACAATGCAAACAAATAAAGAAACACTGCAAATGCTCAAAGAATTTTATTTGCAGCACGTTTCTTTTTTTGGTTGTGTTGTGAGTATTTGCAGTGCGTTTCTTTATTTGGTTGTGTTGTGAGCATTTGCAGCACGTGTGTTGTCAAACTGATGAAGTTTGTTTCTTACTCTTTCAAATCTATTTTCAATTACTGTAGAGATGCATATCAAGTTTGAATATGCAGGTATCTGAATGAGATTAATAGCAAACAATGGCTTGAATTTCTCTTTTTTGCTTTTATTATGCTTTATTTCCCTTGTGCTTAACAGCCCTTTTTTCTCTTTCAAATCTATTTTCAATTACTGTAGAGATGCATATCAAGTTTGAATATGCAGGTATTTGAGATTAATAGCAAACAATGGCTTGAATTTCTCTTTTTTGCTTTTATTATGCTTTATTTCCCTTGTGCTTAACAGCCCTTTTCGTGTGCCACAGAAGAAAGAAACTCATACAGGGGCCAGTTGCATAAACATATGTTAAGACTGTGTCTTAAGGACTAGTTTGACCAACTAGCTAACCAAGAGGTAGTTAGACTTACTTTTTGGATTCAAATTAGACCATTCTCTCTTTTTATAACTGACTTTAAGAAGTTATGACCAGTCTTAAAGAAAAAAAAAATGAGATGACTAACATTTTAAGACTAGTCTAAGCGGTTTATGCAACCTGCCCAAGGTTTGGAACGACATTGAGGTTGAGTAAATGAAGACAAAGTATGCATTTTTGGGTGAACTAAACAATCAAATATGTGGGCAAGGACATTTAGAGTTTTTGGAGAGAAGTGGAGTGGAAGGACTTCTACATTTATCTGATGGAAATTCAGGGGAAAAAATGGGGACATCTCATTCTTTTCACAGTTTGTTGATTGTGAACCAAGCTGAAATGAGTGTTCACCAAAACAGCAAGCTTTTCAAATGTTTTCGAGGACTTGAGTGATGGCTAAATTTGGAAACATTACTTTAATAAGTTATGTTTGTGTTACCTGCCCAGCACTGTTATTAACTGAAAAAAATAAAAAAAAAAAGCATTGAGCTGCTGACATTCTCAATGAGCCAGTGAAGTCAAAAGGTGTTGGTTTTTCACACTTGCTCCAGTGTTTATGCCCAGGAGAGATTTGCAGTGCGTTTCTTTATTTGGTTGTGTTGTGAGCATTTGCAGCACGTGTGTTGTCAAACTGATGAAGTTTGTTTCTTAATTTGCAGTGCGTTTCTTTATTTGGTTGTGTTGTGAGCATTTGCAGCGCATGTTTTGTCAAATTGATGAAGTTGTTTTTTTAATTTGCAGGTGATTTTCTATTTGCAGCGCGTTGAGCTCTCTCGGCCACCGTACAAATCATTAATATTAGAATGATTTCTGAAGGATCATGCGAGACTGAAGACTGGAGTAATAGTTGCTGAAAATTCAGCTTTGCCATTGCAGGAATAAATTACATTTTAACATATATTAAAACAGAAAATTGTTATATTAAATTGTAGTGATATTTCACAATTTTACTTAATTTTTTATCAATTAAATGCAGCCTTCCTGAGCATAAGATACTTTTTTTCAAAAACATTAAAAAATCTTGTAAATGTCCCTCTGCAGCAGTTCTTAAATCTCTTTCAAATCTATTTTCAATTACTGTAGAGATGCATATCAAGTTTGAATATGCAGGTATTTGAGATTAATAGCAAACAATGGCTTGAATTTCTCTTTTTTGCTTTTATTATGCTTTATTTCCCTTGTGCTTAACAGCCCTTTTCGTGTGCCACAGAAGAAAGAAACTCATACAGGGGCCAGTTGCATAAACATATGTTAAGACTGTGTCTTAAGGACTAGTTTGACCAACTAGCTAACCAAGAGGTAGTTAGACTTACTTTTTGGATTCAAATTAGACCATTCTCTCTTTTTATAACTGACTTTAAGAAGTTATGACCAGTCTTAAAGAAAAAAAAAAATGAGATGACTAACATTTTAAGACTAGTCTAAGCGGTTTATGCAACCTGCCCAAGGTTTGGAACGACATTGAGGTTGAGTAAATGAAGACAAAGTATGCATTTTTGGGTGAACTAAACAATCAAATATGTGGGCAAGGACATTTAGAGTATTTGGAGGGAAGTGGAGTGGAAGGACTTCTACATTTATCTGATGGAAATTCAGGGGAAAAAATGGGGACATCTCATTCTTTTCACAGTTTGTTGATTGTGAACCAAGCTGAAATGAGTGTTCACCAAAACAGCAAGCTTTTCAAATGTTTTCGAGGACTTGAGTGATGGCTAAATTTGGAAACATTACTTTAATAAGTTATGTTTGTGTTACCTGCCCAGCACTGTTATTAACTGAAAAAAATAAAAAAAAAAAGCATTGAGCTGCTGACATTCTCAATGAGCCAGTGAAGTCAAAAGGTGTTGGTTTTTCACACTTGCTCCAGTGTTTATGCCCAGGAGAGCTGAATCCACGCTCTCCTCGGTGCCAGCGCTCAGCAAACAAAAGGTCAGAGCCCTCGGAAAAGTGTGTCAGCTGCGCTGAATAGCCTCTACGGTGAAACTGTCAGCAGGCTAATGTATTAAAATTAGGCATTTTTGCTAGTCTTCTTTATGCAAGGTAGGTGCTAATGGACTCATTAGCCAGGCCCGCCTGCCTCTGAAATGGCAGCCATGCTCTAATTACTGACATTTTCCATAATACTGTTTTTGTAATATCCGTGTTTTTCTTCAGCTGTTCCGTGGTCGAGTTTCGGTAATGGTCACCCCTCCTTCTCGACGAGGGCTCTAGCGACGCTTGGAGACCACTCAGGAGATGAGACTGCTGGTCCCTGTTTAAATATTCATTAGGACTCATGTATCCAACTGTCTCTGATTAACGTGAATAAAAAAGGCTAAGTGCTTTCATTTAAAAAAGGCAACAAATAATGGAAAATGATGACATTCAATTAGGCTTGGCTATGTGCTGCTCGTCAACACTTCTCATTTGGAAGTCAGCAAGGAAGTCCATTTGAATGCTGATCAGCGTATGTTTGTTCAAGACTGCGTTTTTTGACAGTCGTGCATAAATGTGTTTGAAAAGGCATGAGCGTGTGCGTTTGGTTCAGTCGTGTTGTCCTCTGTGCTGGGGCAGCGAGGCAGGGTAGAGCACTGGTACATTTCCATAGGGACCTCTGGACATAGCGTGTTCCCTCTGTGGTTTTCTCAGATGACACACACAGACAATATTGTCCTGCATATAAAATATTAATATCCTCATAGTTACATCTTTTAAAGTTAGTTTTTCATGCACTTTTTGAGTATAACTGCATTTATCAGAACGATGGCTTGTCTGTGTATGTGGCGGGTGAGTAGATTGTGATATAGTGCACTGCCACACTTTCAACTTAACTACAGAGGACATCAAATTATACAGCCTTCTTTAGTTTCGTATGATTAAATAAAGATATTCATATAATGGTTTATATCACTTATACTGAACACATCTTTTTGTATTAAAGTTTCAGTTCACCCCAAAATTAAAATTTACTCATTATTTACTCACCCTCATGTTTTTAAATTAGTATAACTAACCAGTTAGTAAGACTAACCAGTAATAACCAGTATGATGCAATATTCCAAATCTTCTGAAGTCATACGGTAGCTTTGAGTGAAGAATAGAGCAAAATATATGCTGTTAAATAATGATCTTCCTCCTCAAGTAAGCTGTGACTGGATTTTTGAGTCGGTGAACTGAACTGAACCAGTTTGATTTGTGAGCAAGTAGTTCAGACAGGTTTTGTGAACCGGATCAACTGATTCATTAAAAAGACTTGCTTTTTGCTCACAATTCGTTTACAGTTCATGATGAGCCAAGTATGTAAGAATTTCAATAATAAATGATTTGTGTGACATAAGGTTGAATGAGAATTTACATGTTTGGGTGAACTATCCCTTTAAATAGGTGTTATGAGAATTCGTCAGCAGTTTCGCAGCAATGTAAAACAGAAGGCTCGGTGAACTGAACTGAACCAGTTTGATTTGTGAGCAAGTAGTTCAGACAGGTTTTGTGAACCGGATCAACTGATTAATTAAAAAGACTTGCTTTTTGCTCACAATTCGTTTACAGTTCATGATGAGCCAAGTATGTAAGAATTTCAATAATAAATGATTTTGTGTGACATAAGGTTGAATGAGAATTTACATGTTTGGGTGAACTATCCCTTTAAATAGGTGTTATGAGAATTCGTCAGCAGTTTCGCAGCAATGTAAAACAGAAGGACATAATTTACTAAGTTCAGCTTAACACGCATCTTGAATGCTGTTTTTATTATTGATTCCTTAATGTATATTTAATGCTGGGTCGGATGTGGAATTTAGTGATTTGAATCGGCCTGAAATATACTAAGATGCACTTAATGAGTTTACAGTAAATCTATCATCTATCTTGCCAGAATTGCCCATCTTCTGAAACTCAGATGAGTTCTTGTCAACCTCTATTGGCGGTGGTTCTTCCTGAGTGGTTCACCCTGCTTTGTGGCTTCTTTTTTCCCCTATATGTGGCATTTTGAAATGGACCAGTCCAGAACTTTTACACCCTGCTAGGTAATTAACATGCTCAGGCTGTCTTCAATCTCAAGGGAGCTCTCATTAGAACAGTCCTCTTTCAGTGTGCTTTATTCACAGCGTTGGAGACCTATCTGATAAGAGCTGTCTGTTCTCAGGTCAGTTATTGTGTTGCTGCTGGCTTCTCATATCAGCTGGATGAATAAGGCTGTTGCTCTTTTGGTTTGAAGTGTTCAGGATGGGTAGATAGGGCTTGTTTCTGTTGAGCTCACATTGCTTACATGAATAGAGGAGTGCACATTTGTCTTTGCTTATGTCATTTTGAAGGTAGTCTTGTAGAGCCAGACTTCTGAATATCAACAAAGCCTGGGCCTTCCATCAGTACTAAATAGGTTGTAGCTGATTTTAATGCTTTCAAATTTATTTGTATCAGTTGATATTGAATAATTAATTGTGCATTCTCGTGTTACCTAATTTTTACATTTAGATTACATTTGCCATCACCTAATGATTTAATAACACTGTTAAATATATTTCAAAATGCAAATTTCAACATGAATATCCATTGTTTACACTGTGCATTATAATGCTGTGGTGCCTAAATTAACTTGTAACATTTAAAATTATTGATTTTAGTTTTTAGTGTTTTATTTTTTTATTATTTTGACAAAATAGTATTTATCAATTTTTCAATTATCAGCCATAACATAAAAAAAAATGGCTTAACAGTAATGGCCAGAATTTTTGGTGATTCAATATTTAATGTAAACATATAAATATATTTATTAATATTTATAGAACATTTGGATTAAAAATAGTAGTAAAAGAAAGATTATGAAGCTAAAAGATTAGGAGATATTGAAAATTCTGCACTGATTCTAGATCACTAATTAAATTAGCAAAAACGTCAAGAGTTTCCGTGCAACACAGTTCCAGCAGAACGTTTTTCAGCTAGACTGTGTTGTACTCATTCAAACCTTTCCAACCGGATTCCCAGAAATTGCATAAAACCAACAAGTCCGATTGAGGCTTGGCATTTTGAAAAACCTCTTGCATCAGATGATCGGTGAAATTACTTTACAGGAAACCACAATGAGATGTTTTTAGGTGGGTAGATATTTATAATGAATGTTTTGGGCTGTTCCTGTGTACAATTTTTAGATTCTGCCAAATGTCGCTTGTGTTTGTTTCTATTTTGACACAATGATGTGTATTTATAAGATCCAGTCAGTGTGTTGTATTCAGACTTCCTTGGTGCCGAAGGTACTGATGTCAGATATTGTCTGACTGATTAGACAGAATAACTGACTGTACGAGTCCCTGTGCGCTGTGTAGATTTCAGCCATCCTTTCTTTCTCTCTCAGAGTAACCCTACACGTCCATGGCAAAAAATAACCTGATGTGCACTGTCAGGGATTATATCATTATGAAATTGAGATATGCTGTCAAAACACACCACTTGATACATATCCTCAATTGCACTCATTTCACACTGTTTTGATTCTGTCTCTTCCTCTCTTTCCATTTTCTATCACGGCTTTGAGTTGATGGGGTTTTTTTTCTTCGTCTTTCTCTACCTGACCCCTGGAGGCCTGAAGCAGGCCATTCATGCTGTCTGTGTCTGCCACAACCAATTACAGTTCCAGCAGAGACCAGAGTAGCCCAGACACCTGTCATCTTCCACTTCTCTGTCCTGGAACCCAATATACTTTCTCTCTTCACTGACACACTCTCACTCCTCCTCTGTGACGTTGGCCGATCGCTCCTACTTAGAGGTTCTTTAATTCCTTTTCTTCAGTTGGCGTATTTAATTTCTCTCTCTTCCAGACTTATGCCCTTCAGTAAGTTCTGCTGTCTTGCACTCTTTTGAATAGTGTGTCATGCTTTATTTCTCGTGTAAGATCCAGGAAATTGTATAGAATCAGGCATGATGGTTCAAATGGGTGAACGGGTTAGACTGGTGAACAGGTCATTTTGTGATATCAGAATCAAAACACAATTTTGATGTGTTTTTGATGTGATGATTCAGTGTGAAGTAGGGCGGGGCGATATGGCCAACAGTCTATATCGATAATTATCACGATAAATGTCAAATCTTTATTTCTTTCAAGTATAAAGCCAGATTTTTGCTCCAAAGTAAAAGTTGTATAAACTAGACCAATAATTTTCCTTAACAAAATAAATATCTAAATAGAAAAATGTCTTTCTTAGTTTCTGCATGTTCTAATGAGTCATATTGTTTCAAATCAAGAAACGGGTTTGGGTTGCCTGATAATATTAATAATAATTATATCACTTTTTGTCTCATGCACATCTGATAGTAGCTTGAGTTAGGGTGCAGAGGTAAAGTTTTGTTCATTATCAAAATTAGTTAAGATCTCTAAAATTGTAGCAACCTCAGTTTTATATGGTTAAATTTATTCAGACCAAGTTTTTATTTATTTATTTTTAAATTACGCATCGGTCTCCCATAGTAACATACATTAAGATCATTATAAGCACAGTTAAAACCACACAATATAGCACCTCAATACCATGGTAAAAATATAACTATATGGTTTTTTGATAGCCTATTTGAATGAAAAACAGTAGTCTAAAAACATTCAGTATAAATGCACACATGCTTTAGCTTAATCACAAATACATACTACAATTATACCATTACTCCTAATACAATTCAGTGTGAATATCCAAAATTTCTGCCACAATACCATGGTGCAGTGAGTGCTACTACAGTAAATCCATTGTAAATGATGGCGATGTGTAGACTGAAAAGCCTTCTGACTGTCTCGTTGCACACAGTGTTTTAGATCACTAATTAAATTAGCAAAAACGTCAAGAGTTTCCGTGCAACACAGTTCCAGCAGAACGTTTTTCAGCTAGACTGTGTTGTACTCATTCAAACCTTTCCAACCGGATTCCCAGAAATTGCATAAAACCAACAAGTCCGATTGAGGCTTGGCATTTTGAAAAACCTCTTGCATCAGATGATCGGTGAAACTACTTTACAGGAAACCATAATGAGATGTTTTTAGGTGGGTAGATATTTATAATGAATGTTTTGGGCTGTTCCTGTGTACAATTTTTAGATTCTGCCAAATGTCGCTTGTGTTTGTTTCTATTTTGACACAATGATGTGTATTTATAAGATCCAGTCAGTGTGTTGTATTCAGACTTCCTTGGTGCCGAAGGTACTGATGTCAGATATTGTCTGACTGATTAGACAGAATAACTGACTGTACGAGTCCCTGTGCGCTGTGTAGATTTCAGCCATCCTTTCTTTCTCTCTCAGAGTAACCCTACACGTCCATGGCAAAAAATAACCTGATGTGCACTGTCAGGGATTATATCATTATGAAATTGAGATATGCTGTCAAAACACACCACTTGATACATATCCTCAATTGCACTCATTTCACACTGTTTTGATTCTGTCTCTTCCTCTCTTTCCATTTTCTATCACGGCTTTGAGTTGATGGGGTTTTTTTTCTTCGTCTTTCTCTACCTGACCCCTGGAGGCCTGAAGCAGGCCATTCATGCTGTCTGTGTCTGCCACAACCAATTACAGTTCCAGCAGAGACCAGAGTAGCCCAGACACCTGTCATCTTCCACTTCTCTGTCCTGGAACCCAATATACTTTCTCTCTTCACTGACACACTCTCACTCCTCCTCTGTGACGTTGGCCGATCGCTCCTACTTAGAGGTTCTTTAATTCCTTTTCTTCAGTTGGCGTATTTAATTTCTCTCTCTTCCAGACTTATGCCCTTCAGTAAGTTCTGCTGTCTTGCACTCTTTTGAATAGTGTGTCATGCTTTATTTCTCGTGTAAGATCCAGGAAATTGTATAGAATCAGGCATGATGGTTCAAATGGGTGAACGGGTTAGACTGGTGAATTTGTGATATTGTGATATCAGAATCAAAACACAATTTTGATGTGTTTTTGATGTGATGATTCAGTGTGAAGTAGGGCGGGGCCAACAGTCCAACAGTCTATATCGATAATTATCACGATAAATGTCAAATCTTTATTTCTTTCAAGTATAAAGCCAGATTTTTGCTCCAAAGTAAAAGTTGTATAAACTAGACCAATAATTTTCCTTAACAAAATGAAAAATGTATTTCTTAGTTTCTGCATGTTCTAATGAGTGATATTGTTTCAAATCAAGAAACAGGTTTGGGTTGCCTGATAATATTAATAATAATTATATCACTTTTTGTCTCATGCACATCTGATAGTAGCTTGAGTTAGGGTGCAGAGGTAAAGTTTTGTTCATTATCAAAATTAGTTAAGATCTCTAAAATTGTAGCAACCTCAGTTTTATATGGTTAAATTTATTCAGACCAAGTTTTTATTTATTTATTTTTAAATTACGCATCGGTCTCCCATAGTAACATACATTAAGATCATTATAAGCACAGTTAAAACCACACAATATAGCACCTCAATACCATGGTAAAAATATAACTATATGGTTTTTTGATAGCCTATTTGAATGAAAAACAGTAGTCTAAAAACATTCAGTATAAATGCACACATGCTTTAGCTTAATCACAAATACATACTACAATTATACCATTACTCCTAATACAATTCAGTGTGAATATCCAAAATTTCTGCCACAATACCATGGTGCAGTGAGTGCTACTACAGTAAATCCATTGTAAATGATGGCGATGTGTAGACTGAAAAGCCTTCTGACTGTCTCGTTGCACACAGTGTTTCTCCTGTTTGGCTTTAAACTAGTTTAAATCACCGAGTCATTTGTGTTCATCGCTGAATTCAAGCACTTCACACTGGATCTCACAGCCCTGTTTAGTGCTCACGTGACCGAGTAAATGCATCTGCTCTAGTGAGCTCACGCCGGCGGCAGTTTGAGCTGTGATCCGAGCGGATAAACGATCCGTGTGGCGCGATTTTGTTCCGCTTTTGGCGCATAAACATTATATCGAACATTTATCGAACTCTTCGTATCGTTTTATCGAGGAAAATTATACCGCAATAATTATCGTTATCGAATTATCGCCCAGCTCTAGTGTGAAGCGTAACAAATAGTGTAATTCTTATGTCAGAATGACCATATTTACAAAATGTTTTATCTACCAGTGGGAAACCGAGTTATGTTACTGTCAATTACCAAATAAGTTTAATAATTTTAAA